GTCAAGAAGTTTCAGCGTTCACACCCGAGTTTATACTTCTTTCAGGTTCTCTGGGATTGACGTCCTATCCAGATAATATTACAGGCTTTCCAATGGTCCAATTTTACAAACTAGCTGTGAACTTCAAAACGCTATCTCAGTTGTCATTGTCATAGACATTGTAATAAGCATTTTCAGCACATCAGCATTCATTTCAATCGCGATTCTTTCGGATTAGACCTCGCATACTTCAATATAACATTCCCTTCGAACAAAAGCAAATGGAGTGATTTAGTACTTTTCTACAAGTTTCGCAGGCTTTGCGTAAACCTGCCCATTTTTTTCACTCATTTTTTTGCCAGCGTCAGCAACTGGTTATGAAAAACCGGGGAATGATGTGAGCTTAATGGGATTCAATAGATTTATAGCGTATCATTCACGCCCCACCAAAACCGAATCTACCTGCCGTTAGTACAACAGGGATCTTTGACGTGTCCTAAGGAACTTTGGTGGTCTTAAGACTTCAAAATCGAGCTTTNTTAGTACAACAGGGATCTTTGACGTGTCCTAAGGAACTTTGGTGGTCTTAAGACTTCAAAATCGAGCTTTTTAAAATTTTAGATAAACCATGTTACAGAGCTCGAGGAGTTGAGTTCAACCATATAGCACACTATGTAAAAAAACTGTAAAACAACCTAGTTACAGAGAAAAAACGAAAGAAACGCGAAAACCCGTTTGTTTTTTTGAACATCTAGGGTGGGTATTGTAGAAAAAGTCAGAACAACAAAGAAGTAGCATCACTAGGTTTTGCTGGCTGAAAGAAAAAATAGTGGCAGGCAAACCATAGAAATGAGATGCAATTGGCTCACCTGTCGTGGTTTCAGCTTACTAGTCATCTCTCCACACAGCGTGTCAAGATTGGACTCGTCCTTACGACTCTAAAGCGCTCTGTATTTTACCACACATATGTAAAGACGACTACACCATGAATGGACCATGGAATACGGATCGGATTCCTCACAAGTACCTGTAACAAATGACAAGCCTGCACAAGTGGATCGAGAACTTCACGGTATGCTCCGAGACCCTTCGAAAACAGCCATGTCTGGATTTCTGTTACGTTATGCCTGAAACGGACGAAATTCAATAGCAGCATGTTACAGGGTGGAGCTGAACACCTACTTAATTTGTACGGCTTTTTCAAAATTGCAAAGTTCTTTTCTAAACATCAGATGATTGAGCGAGAGAGCACAGATCCAGCTTGCGATCTGCCCGAACACTTGTCCAAGTAGCACCTGATCAGCACCGTAGGCTGTCAACTTTGTATGGACGAAGTTCAGCTGAAAAACTGCTATGAAAGGTTATTGAATGCAGTGACAAATGAAGAACTCACGAAGTCCATGAGGTCGTCTAGGCCTCTTTTTGTGGCCTCACGGTGGTTTTCTCGAGCCTGGGGTCGTCCATTCACGGTGACTCCGAGCACATCGCTTGAAGTTTCATGTTGCAATACTCCCGGTACTGCAAGACGAATAATTCCAGACGCATGTATGAGAAACAAAAGGGATATGCTTCTGTCTGGGCATAATCGCTTGTATGTGTGCTCTGCCCACTTCTCTCAAGTTCCATCCACTCCCTTCTTCAAATGAAGGCAGAGATCACGATAGTCTCAAAATATCCTTTTAGGTTGAAAAGCGTAAGTGTTGGTGCAGAATGGTGCTCTTTTGATGGCTCTTCAGACACGATTTCAAAAGAGACGATAACAGACCGGATATCCAGCCCGACTTCGAACTTTTGATCGACAAATTCACTACTGCCGGACCATTTCTATTAAATTCCTATATAGCATTCACGCCAAATCGTTCATAAGAGCAAAGGTAAAGTTAACTGCAATGATCAATCTCATCTGCGAGGTGCGCCCACGCATTTGGCTTCAACAAACTGGATGGCACATACGCATTCAAGTCGTAGTGGCACTTGAATGCGTATGTGGCCACCACTACAACGATCTCGGTAGCTCACCTAATTTACAAGGAAAGTCCAAACATAGTACAACATTCAAAGTTCTAGTTCAAGTTCTGTCGATTCTGACCTCTCCACCGGTACCATTCAGTCATAGCCTAACATCCCACTGACAATCTTACAATATCCAGGGAACTTTACTTTTCATTCTAGATTGACTGGACTTGACATACTCTTAACTTCCGGGAGATAATACTCGTGCAAAGGGCTCATGAGGTAACAAAAGCCTACGAATTGAGCAGTAGTGACTTCAGTCTACAACAACCCCGTTGATAACTACTCTCGTTGACATGCTAGCACTCACCAATTTTCGGTCCCAGAACCGGCTCGACGGCTCGTTTCATAAGATTTTGATAGCATTCTTCTACTCGTAATCGGAGTTGCTCACGAATAGGCGTTATGTCGAAAGATTGCAGTCGATGGCCGTTCTGTTTCTCTGTGTTGCCNGCAGTCCATTCCTACAAATTAGAGCTTGTTGTGGAGAAGTTGCAGTATAATTGGTTTTGAATGAGTACCGGTTCAGCCTTTTCGCCGCTGTACTGTCGTAGCAGGTTGAACAAACGCCACGTATTCACTAACCACAGCGAAAGTACGTCCATATCATGCGAACGCTGGAATACATGCTCTTTCGTTCGTCTCTGCACTTTTGAAGTTATTTTCCAATTAATTTACTGCACCATAAAATCGCTTAGACGCCAATTTAAAAATGAACAAATACTGAGCTCATCGTTTCCTTTCGGATGAACTTTTTATGAAGTAAGATGTAATTAAGCTTTTTGCCTCAGATCAACCAAGAAATCTTATGCACCTAAAGGGCGAGTCCTGAAGGACGGAAAGGGGATGGGAATACATCAAAGTGCATTTTGCGACTCAATCGGAAAAACACATTAGAATCCATTAAATCATTGCATGAAGGTTACCCACAAATTACTCCGCCACGAATTGTATAACATACGCTCAACCTTCTGTTGTTCACATAAAAAAAGAAAAATTTTGAAAAATTATGTGTAAGCAGGTTTCATTGGAGCGTTGTTCCCCGGTAATTTTGTTTTTCAATCAAATTGATAGTTTTACAAAATTCAAAGGATACTAAACAAGAATAAGGATTTGAGGAGTTGATTGCAGACTACGGACCACGTCATACAATTCCTATTTGAATTGTATCAGTATGTGAGTGCATCTTTGGTCTGCAAAATATTTACAAAAAAAGTGTTTGAAAAACAATAAATATAAAAAAATGTTTAAGAAACGTGATTTCTGAACCTTTCACACTTAAAACTTTGTTAAGGGAACCACCATGCGCAGAATTCGATTTTAGGGCGTTTCGCGATAGTATGCGAGGTTATCATGAGGTTACCATAATAGCGTCCCTCCTCTCAGTATTATTTATTTTGCCTAACTAGCTTAAAAGGTCCGACGGGTCAGCAAGGATACTACAGCAATAGAACATTATAATGAAAAACCAATAATATTAAATGCAGGAAGGAGTTCTTTAGCCTTTGCACTGGTTTGGATCTGCACTCTTCTGCATACATTGCTCCTCCTACAACTTGAATAATGCTGCCTACAGTCTGTGATCACCTGAGAAATTAATTTTCCTTCGTAGAAAGAAGAAGAGAGAGGAGTTAGATGCAATCTATCTCACCGAGATCCCTTATCTTTTTGGATCCCCGCCATCCTTAAAGACGTACAAATCTATCAGAGCTACATACAGGGGCTACGTTGCCTCAGAAGGCTCAAACGAATTTAGACTCATCAATCTTAGCTAGCAATGTTTATTGCTAGGATTGACGGTCTGAATTCACAACTCTTAAAACTACAGTAGCGATAATGTCTTCTGCCTTCCGACTTTTCAAGCGCCTTAGTAAGTTGGAATTGTTGCGTTTTAGTGAGCACTAGCCTAATAGGGTTTGTTTGTAACTTTAGTTTGATTTTTCAACCTCGTTCTCTTGCATTTGCCTTATGCACAACGTTATAAATAAATAAATAGACAGGTGATTCTATTAGACCAAACAAGAATAGCGGAATAGGGATTAATCGCCGACCAAAAGTCCACCGATACTTGCCCAGAGGCGCAGGTGGATTCAGGGGATGGACTCCTTGAAAATGTAGGAAAGTAACTGAACACATCACATAACACGAAAATCAAACGCCGTGCCTGAACTTAAAGCTGTTATGATCAAGTTCGATAACGATGGGACATAACCAGCACGAACACCGGCGAGGCTCATCCTTTCTGAGCGTTCGAGTTCTAACAAAGCATGAATCGAGAGTTTAAACAAGGGTGGAATCAATGTGTTAAGGTGAACGACCAAGCATTCTTGGCACCCAATCCTAACGGAGCAACTTTTACAAAGGCAAGAATCGAATTCAATTTATAAACTTCGCTTCCCTATATTTCCTTTCGTTTCCTTTTTTTTCGAGATTGACCAAAATAAGTGGAGGGGGATTTGACCGCATTGGCTTGGAAATCACAAAAAAATTATCGTCGAATCGTTTGTTTCAGGTTAAATTTATTGTGCATTTGGAAAGGCCATCAAAGCAACCAGCCGCCAAATTAGAATGGCTTCCAACGCATGCTCAGAGGTACCCCTCAATGCCCAGTCCAACAGACGGAACGTAAACAAAAGGCTCCAAAGGGATCCTGATGAGAGCATGAATACATAATATGGATGAAAAAGGTGGAGAGCCATTATCTATGCTTTGGAAAGGTTCATACATGCCTTGCAAGCCTAAAGAATTATGCGAGGGTCCTTGACTCACAACACATTCAATAGACTATTCAAGTTAACAAGTTTCTCTTCAATGACTGCGACTACCCTGGGACTCAATGCAGGAGTTATGAATAGCCGGTCAAACGCATACACGCATACCCGGCACACTTGCGGGCGCCTCATCAGTCATGAGCGGAGTCACGTTCAACTCATGCGTTTTTGAGTAACCTGGTTCATTCGCCTATTCCTTCAATTTGATATCGCTAATTTACTCAGCCACCTGTTCCCCACCAAATTTGAACAGTCCAGGTCCTCACCAACTGTCTTTGTGGACGGCACTCCACCAGCGAGCGGAGTTCAATCGTGCCACTTGTCATCAGCATTCCTACGCTCGCACCTGTATCCAGTAACAATTTTCGGCCCTTCAGGTAAA